TTATTATTTTTTAGAAATTGTGAGGTTTGGGGTTATTAAAGTACTATTAGTGCTATAAAATACTACATACTACTTAAAATGATTTTCATATAATAACCGGATGCGTCTCAAAAATGGCTCACCCCTATAATTTTTTTATTTTTTCAGATAAAAAAACCAGATTTGGTATGTTAGTATATGACATAAGTTAGGATTGATTGATGCATTCAATTGTTTTTGGTCACTTCCTGCTTCACCGGAAATTACTACATCTTTTAATTTTTAAAGGGCACCCTCGATATATTTCTACTTTATTTGATACCCTGAATAGAATGACATATCATATGTCAACTTTTGACATTTTCGCATACGGTTTATTTCAAAATTGTAACATGCGGTTCATAACGACAATTTGACTGATGGAAATACCAAGTGTGTGGTACCAAATTATTCGTAAAAAAAGACTTTTTCCAAACATGCTAATGAGCCACCCTTGTTCCATTTGAAAAAATTGAGATATAATTAAAAAAACGATTTGGACATCTTTTTACCGGCTAGGATAAGACACGAAAACCATTAGACGATCAAAACTATTTTTCCAAGGCTTCTTGATTAAAAATTAGTGTTTTTAACATAACCATGGCACTCGAGATTGCAATTTAAAATACGATTTTTTAAAGCGAAAATGTCAAAAGTTGACATATGATATGTCATTCTACTCAGGGTGCAGGGTGTAATTTTTGGTGATTTCCGATGAAACAGGAAGTGACTAAAAACAATTGAATACATCAATCAATACTAATTTACGTCTCATTACCTCTCATTACGTCATACCAAATCTCGTTTTTTTATTTGAAAAAAAAAGTTCTAGAGGTGAGCCACTTTTGAGACGCACCCGGTAGAGTGTGTCCCAAATAAGTAAAAAATACTAAAGTTGTGCTTTTTAAACTGGACATCATGTATATTTTTTATTTTTTCTTTCTACAATGAAATATTTAATATATCTTTTTTTAAATATGCGATAATTGTTTTAAGTAGTTTACATTTATATCTTTTTATAATTAGATTTAATTTTTTGACAAGTTTTTTCTAGGGCTTGATTTGGGCCAACATTAAAATCGATTGTCATTCCCCAGCCGGCTCTCTGACGGCGTTTTTTTTTCGATCATACGATATTTTAATAAGTAGGCCATATTGTCATTCCTTGCCAATTTAGGGTTTCGAAGCCAAGGGGTTTTGTCACAAGTCTTGACGCACCTTAAAATCTGCGGGCTTCTTTGAACTTGACAGCAGCTTATTTCTTGCTAAGGTCATCCTTGTTGAACAGGTCCAAGGCGGCAACGGAGATGAGAGCAACAATCGATCTGAAGGTGTTATTTCAACTACGAGACGCAGGAAACCAGAAGATAAAAGATTTAACGAAAAACCAAGTGTAGACTTATGGATTTTTAATAGTACACTGGAATAAAATATTACTAAGGAAGCAGTTTATTTGGCTAATAGATATTTATTACAATTATTAAATAGCATTTATTGTGCTACACGTTAAATGTTAAATTGGTTGAGGTGTTTTAACTTCTTTCTAGCATTTTAGTTATGTTTAGTTCAGATTTAATATAAACAAATATAATGAATATCCTCTCCAATGAAGAAATAAAAGAGACAAGACACAATATCCCCACAATCTTATATTATTTTTTTTTTTTTTTTACAAATAGGGGGGGGGGATGTTTCGAGACGGTGAACTGTGACATTAATTTCCTTATACGACAAAAAATTACTTGACAGCATCAATACAGGGTGTCCCAGAAATAAGCGTAAATATTTTAAGGGGTGGTAGATCTGGTCAAAAGATTTTTTTTCTCTTTACCGCATAAGTCCAAAATAACCGACTTATTTTACTTTGAAAATTTCCAAAAAAAAAAAGATTTTTTGCTAAAATTTTGAGAACCACTGGATCTTCTCTGGATTTTCTTTCATGTAAATTTAAACTACTACCTATGTTGCCATATTATCAAGAACTTATGTCTTTTAACTTAAAACTAGAAAAATTTCGCAAAAAATACCTTAAGCGTGTTTCTAAGGCCGCAATATACTACCAGTTAAAATACTTGCACCTATTTCTGGGACACCCTGTATATTGCTCGTTCTTTCAAATTAAATATTTAGTGGTCCAGTTGTATTTTTGGTGAGAAAGTTTTGGAGTAATTCTGATTTATTTTATCCTTTATGTATTTTTGGAACGCTGACCTTTGATCTGATATTTCCTAACAAAATTTCGTGACAAAAGATGGAAAAAAGTGCAAAAAACGTAAAAAATTGCAATTTCTGCGTTTTTTGCTTATAAGGCGAATAAAACAAAATTTTCAGAAATAATGCCTCTATACCGGGTGAGTCTCAAAAGTGGCCCACCCCCTATAACTTTTTTATTTTTTCAGATAAAAAATGAGATTTGATATGTTAGTATATGACATAAATTAGGATTGATTGACGTTTTCAATTCTTTTCGGCCACTTCCTGTTTCACCGGAAATGACTACAACTTTTGACTTTTAATTGACACCCTCGGTATTTTTTTTACATTATTCGATAGAAGAAGACCCTCTGAATAGAATGTTAACATATTATATGACAACTTTTGACATTTTCGCATATCGTTTATTTGAAATTGTAACATGCGGTTCATAACGACAATCTGACCAAATACCAAGTGTGCGTTACCAAATTATTCATAGAAAAATGCTTTTTTTTCAAATAAGTTAATGAGCCACCCTTGTTCCATTTGGAAAAACTGAGATATGATTAAAAATACGATTTAGGCATCTTTTAACCGGCCAGGATAAGACAGGAAAAACATTAGATGATCAGATCTATTTTTTAAGGCTCCTTGTTTAAAAATAATTAGTGTTTTTAACGCATCCATGGCACTACAGATTGACATTTAAAATACGATTTGTTTTAAAGCGAAAATGTCAAAAGCTGACATATTATGGTACGTCATTCTATTCAAAGTGTCATTTTCTCACGAATAAAGTAAAAATATACCGAGGGTACCATTTAAAAATCAAAAGTTGTAGTCATTTCTGGTAAAAGAGGAAGTGACCAAAAAGAATTGAATACGTCAATCAATCCTAATTTATGTCATATACTAACATACCAAATATTGTTTTGTTATCTGAAAAAATAAAAAAGTTATAGGGGGTGAGCCACTTTTGAGACGCACCCGGTATTTAATGTTACCGTAAGTTTTTAAAAATGCACTTAGAAAAACACCTTCTAACTCTGAAACTGCAACAGATATAGAGATGCAGGTTTTACCATTATGTTTTTGATAAAAAACTGAGCTCCTAACTCTAATCTTAGATAGAGGAGTTTGCCTTTAAGTGTCCAATTTGGCTCACCCTGTATAGGGTGCGTCAAATTCCACGCTTTTAAAGGGAAACACCCTATTCTATAGGAGATAGACGAAAACTAATATCAGTGTCTGAAGCTCAATTTTTATCAAAAACAAGATGGTGAAAACCGCACATCGTTATCGTTATATCGATATCTGTTACCGTTTATGAGTTACGGGGTGTTATTAAAAAATGTGCATGTTTAACAAATCGCTGTAACTTTTTTGCTACGGAAAATGTTATATTTCTATTAAAACATTTCCAAAGCACCTTTTTACGTAGAATGTGATGGTTTAAGTATATTTTTTTTAAATTAATAAATTAAGAGTTATCAATATAAGAATTGACTTTTTATTCGGGGGACACCCGGTATATTTTCAATTAACTCAATAGAACCAACTGAAAATTACTTTTCCAAAAATATATAGCACACTTGATATTTTGTTATAGTCCCCTTCGAAATAAAGAATTTATAAAAGTTCGCCACTTTTAATTAGTAGGCTTTGGGTCCTTTAGTGATGATCTGCCTCTAATGGAACTCGAAAACATATTTTTCCACCAAGAAGGGGCACCTCATCAGAACACTGAAGTTATCGGCAAATTTTACCAGCCAGTTTAGAGAAAATTGAATAGCTAACCAAGATCCCAGCCGTTGGCCTTCGAGGCCGCCGGACTTAGTGCCTGTGCCTATGGATTTTTATCTTTGTGGAAGTATAAAGGTTCTGATTTTTAAATTGCCGGTATAATCTAGACAAAAATTAGAAGGGCGTAGCGGTTATACGAGGGTATCTTTTATCCCCACTGAGTTAATGAATTCAGCGAGAAATGTTCAAAAACGGTCCGGTCTGTCCATAACAGAAGACGGCCGATGTGTCAAACACCTGGAGCAAAATCTCATATCTTGGTTAGCTATTTATTTTTTATTATTATTAGATATAGTTTAAATGTGTTTTGATTGTATTAAATCTAGTTTAAATTGTTACAAATTCTCTTTCTATTTAGTGTCCCATATAAAAAATCAAATTTTCTGTTGACAATTCTTAAATTATTAATTTTAAAAAAATTATACTTAAAACATTAAATTCTGCGTAAAAGGTGCTTTGGAAATTTTTTCATAAAAATACAAAATTTTCCATAGCAAAAAAGTTACAGCGATTTGTTAAAAATGCACACTTTTGAAAAACACCCCGAACTCTGAAACGGCAATAGATATCGATGTGCGGTTTTCACCATCATGTTTTTGACAAAAATTGAGCTCTAGACATCGATATTAGTTTTCGTCTATCTCCTATAGAAAAGGGTGTTTCCCTTTAAGTGTCCAATTTGGTCCACCCTGTATAGCTATCACCACTAAGAAGAATTTTACAGTTAAAACATAATGCATACTGAAATTTAGAAATACTGTGACATCAATTTCATTCCATTATACGATAAAAAATTGACAGCATTCAATATTGGGTAAAAGAATTTATTCTTGTACAACCTTAACCTTGACACCCAGAGCCGGCGTTCGATTACAGAACAGAACGCGAACTGGCACTGTGTCTTGTTAGTAGTACCATTCATTACCTCTGTCACGGCCTTAAGTTTTTTACAGTACTACCTGTATGGGTTTCCATTAAATTTTGCGCAGGTAATGCGGTACCAATGGTGGGAGAAATCAATATCGAAGTTTAAAATGTCGCGGGCATATAGAATTTTCAAAATTATCCGCGACAAAAGTAACGTATTTATACAATAAACTTGTCAATGACAAAAAATATTTAGCAAATAGGTAGTACCGTTTAGGTTTAAATCCGGTAACTTTCCTGATCATTTAAAATAGATTTATATTTAAGTAAAGTATTCTTCCATTGATAGTTATTTCGGTACTTACGGAAACAGTTTGGATGGTATTAAGTTTCGGCACGTTCTCCAGTGAAAATTAATTAGGAAAAATATTAAGGATTCTTAAATTTATTAATTGTTTCAGTGATAGTTATCGTGTGTTCGAAGTGCTTTAAATAAAGTAAGTACCCACATACTTCCTGTAGAATTAAAAATAATTTTAAAAGTTTTACTTTTTTTGTGTTTAATTTTTCACATCTTTTAATGTAATTAAAAAATCAAGAAGTTTAATTAACAATCTCTTCTTTAAATAAATAATCTTCTCTAAATCTAAAGTAACTAAATAATCTCTATATTTATCAATACACCCATGGAATATTGACATTTTAGATCGTTTTCAAAGCATCAAATGTACAAAATGTACAAGTGCTAAAAACGATAACGATAATGTTACTGGCCCATTTGTATACAAAAAATTAAATATACCACGATTATTTCTACCCAAATATTAATTAATTACATACTTAATTGTATTAGTTAATAAATTATTCTAAATAAATGTAGATTCGAATCAGAAATCAATATAATAATAAGTTATGAAAATGAACGTCTCTGTTGTTATAAATAAGCATTCGTCAAAAAATGAAATAACATTTTTAAGATGTTGCTTTTTACCACATTGTCTAATACGCATACGAAATTCGTTTTTTTAGTATTTGGAGCAATTATTGTTAATCAACGCAAACAGTCAATTAATGTAGTTTGAATACTGGAATCATATTAATTGGTCCTCTTTAACAAATATTTAAACATTTTTTTTATTTTTTAATGAAATAAACGAACTATATCGCCAATATCATTATCTGTACCCTTTAAAAATTTGTTACATTCTTTAAAAATAATCGAAAATGTCAATATTCCATGGGTATATTGATAAATGAAGTCTAAATTATAAGAAAATGCATTTTCTAGGAAAACTTGAAGAGATAGGTAAATAATGGTATAAGACAAATTGATAGATAATTAAATTGTGCATCTGAGTCTCTAAAATATACAACACCCTGTATATTTTAAATTAGCCCCGTTTAAATTAGCCAAGTTATTGCTGTTTAAAGCTAGTAATTATTTAAAATAATTTTTTAGACACTCTGTAATAAGGTAGTATAATTTTTATTATTGCAACACAAAATTTATTAAATAGAAATACTTCAGTACAATATTTGGTTTTAGAAACTTAATTGCGCCTAGAGAAATGAAGCATTAAAATTATTACTGTATTTTGACAAAAACCGAAATATTTCAAAAACGGTAAGATTAAAATGCGGTAAACCTTAATCAAATTTACCTTTATTTTAATCCTGGAAACTAAAAATGTAATAATATACAGGATGTTCCATTTAAAAAAAATAAAACTTTGATATTTTTTATTCATTTGGGACACTCTGTATTTTGTAAAAATATTTTTAAATTGTAGCTCTAATAGTCCCTCAACTAACCCAAAACTTACAATTTGCAAAAATCTAATTGTTTAGTTACAATACTCCGTGTTGTATGTGGTGAACAACCCTGTATAATATGTTTCAACTGTTGTTATTGTTATGTTTTGTTTTTAACCGTTTTTTTTTTCACTATGTTTAATTTAATAATTTTCGTAATATTTATGTTTAATGGAAACTAGTGAATCGAGGAAAATTAATCCATTATGCTTTTGTTGTTTTTGTTTCTTAATAATTAAATTATTATTCATGTTTGTTTGAATGATTAGACACATACCTAAACCAAAGCTAAACGCTGTTTATTACAAAACGTAGTTTTATGGAGTTATAACAAACACTGTACTTAAAAGAATACACAGCAATAATAGAAATAAACTGATCTTAAAGCGCATTTTGATTTTTTTGCAAATACAACTCCATTTCCATATTTTCTAACTTTTTATCTGAAATAGTAGGGAAATTTGAAAAAGTATAAATGAAATTAACCGCATCTAAGAACGTTTATTAAATCTAAAGTTTTTGCTTAACTTTGATAAAAAATGAAAACATTTTTCTCAAAAAGTTAGGGTAGCGCGGGGCAATAAGAGCCACCTAAGGAAAACCTGAAATAAAATGCTACTTATTCCACTGCTGGCAACAATTTTCTTTTTCTAGATAGTTCGTGATGTGTAAAATAAAATATAAGTATCAGTTCTCTGTTTTAGATAAACATTACTGGTATGCAAAAGAAAAACTAAAACCTATCATTGGCTCTCATTACCCATAACAGTGGGGAAATTGAAGCCACTTTATTTTACATATTTAAATCTGTTATTAACATTGTCAAACAAAATTTGAATTATTTTAGGTAAAACACAAGAGAAAAAGACATGTCTGAAATATTTTAAAATAAAAATTTAAGTTATTTCAGTAGAAACCAAAGTTACAAATATGTTTGGAACATCCTAAAACAAAATTTAAATTATTTTAGTTAAAACAAAAGACACAAAATATGTCTGGAATATTCTGAAACAAAATTTAAATTATCTTTTTTAAAATAAAATAAGGAAATATGTTTAAAACATTCTAAAATAAAATTGAACCACCATGGGGGATGAGAGCCACTCTGGCTCCGATTACCCCGTTTGTTTACATATTTGCAAGTTAAAAATAACAAAATTAAATGCGCTAACAGAAGCAACACAACTGCACAAATCGAATCTACACTTCAGTAGATTTTGATTAACACCGCTATTTTGATCTAAAGCAAAATATAAATACAACTTACACTAATTTTTTAAAACGTGCACGCTATAAGAAAGTCCCGTAAACTCGATGCGTTCTCTAACAGACTTTGAATCGTACCAAAACAAGGCGGTGGTGGCTTTAGGAAACATTTAATGGGGGATCCCGCATATCGCAACTGTCAGTGCTCAGATCAGGGCGCGTTATTCAAAATTACACAATGGCTCTCATTACCCAATGGCTCCCAATACCCCGCGGTACCCTAATAATATTTTTTTTTAAAAAACGGTTCAGTAGAAATAAGAAGATAGAAAAATACATTTTCTACAAAAATATATTTGTTTTGAAATTTATTATTTTTTTTTGTATATATAAATATAATAATATAATATATAATTTTTGTATTCCTTTTCATAAGTTATTCGGGATTTAAATGGAAGTAGTTTGGATATGGCGTTTGTCGCCTCAGCCTGAATATCGGTTGGTAATTTACTTATTTCGTTTTGAGCCATTTCTGGCTCCAATTCAATCAGCAATCGACACGAAAGCGAATTAAAAAATATTGACTCAAAACTGACAACTAAAGAGACAGCTTTATTTATTTGTCAAATTACATAGAAACCAACGCCAACCCAGCACAATATTTTTTCTACTCGTAATAAATTCCTTGAAATAATAATTTCTGAAAATTTTTTAAAACGTAACTCGCTAAGGAAAAAAATATTGTTTTATACACGACGATAAAATTGCATTATCGTCTCCCGAAATTAATTATTCACTCGCGATTTCACCGCTAGTGAATTATTCTTTTCCGGTCGACGATAAAATACCATTTTATCGTCTTGTATAAAAGATAACTAATTTTTTATAAATTACTTAGAAAGAAATGACGTTAGATGGCATTTTCTGTAATTATTTTATTAATAATGCACATAAATATGTATCAATATCAATTATTATTAAATTAATTAAATTACCCCTATGCAATATAGTTATTTTTACTCTGTTATAAATCTTGGAATATATCAACTTTGGATACATAATATGTAAATTAAATACGTGCTAATTATAAATGATTATAATATTATTTTACATTATACATTAACTATAAAATACTAAATAAATAATAGTATTTATTTTTAAATACATATACGCAACTAGGCGTGAAAAATCATTTAATTATTTGCATTAAAACTTTTTTACGATCTAATTCAGATACAAAGTTGAATGTTTCAACTTAAGGTATACTTTCTTTTCATAATATTTTTAACTTTCTGGATTTTCAACCTGACGTTTAGTTTTCGAGATACTATCATGAATTTTATTTTTTTAACGCAGATATGGATATTTCGTTTGCTTTTTTAAAAGTTTATATGATATACAGGGTGTCCCAGAAATAAGTGCAAGTATTTTAAGGGGTGGTAAATCTCGATAAAAGAAACATATTTTCTCTTTATCGTTTTTCAAATAAGTAGAAAATAACGGAGTTATTTTATTTTGAAAATTTCCAGAAAAAATGATTTTTTGTTAAAATTTTGAGAACCACTGGATCTTTTCTGGATTTTCTTTTTTGTAAATTTAATCTAATACCTATGTTGCCATTTTATCAAGAAATTATGTTTTTTAACTAAAAACTAAAAAAAATTCCAAAAAATTTCGAATTTTCATTTTTTTTTAAATAAAAAAACTTCACTTCTTGTTTCACCGGAACTGACTACAACACTTTTGATTTTAAAATGGCACCCTAGGTATTTTGTTACTTTATTCGATAGAAAATGACACTTATTGACAGAATGTAGATGACTGCATAGAATGACATATCATAAGTCAACTTTTAACATTTTCGCATATGGTTTATCTGAAATTATAACTTGCGGTTCGTAAGGAAAATTTGACCCGAAATACCAAGTCTGTGGTATCAAATTATTCGTAAAAAAATACATTTTCCAAATATGCTAATGAGCCACCCTCGTTCCATTTGAAAAAACTGCGATATGATTAAAAATACAATTTGGGCATTTTCTAACAAGACACTAAAAGCATTAGACGATCAAATCTATTTTTCTAACGCTCCTTGATTAAAAATTAGTGTTTTTAACACAACCATGGCACTCTAGATTGAAATTTAAAATACGACTTTTTTTTTTAACGAAAATGTTAAAAGATGACATAAGATACTATGTCATCCTACTCAGAGTGTTTTTTATCGAATAAAGTAAATATATACCGAGGGTGCCATTTAAAAATCAAAAGTTGTAGTTATTATATATGAAACAGGAAGTAGCGGTATTTTTTTTTACTTTATTCAATAGAAAATGGCACTCTGAATAGAATGACATATCATATGTCAACTTTTGACATTTTCGCTTTAAAAAATCGTATTTTAAATTTCAATCTAGCAATTCATGGCTTCGAAAATAATATAAAATAAAAAATAAACCATATGAGAAAATGTCAAAAG